TTAACCAATCATACTGCTCGCGCTAAATAAGAGATGTAATATTATTCTTTATTACCAGACTTGAATAATTCCAATTGGGGGTCTATAACTACGCATTTCGCCACATACGGCATGCTGCACGACAGAAAAACATATCCTAATGAGACTTAACACACTTTTTAAAATCCACCAGCAGTCTATCAAGATTGCTGCGATCTCATTGGCTATGTTACTTTTTATTTCGTGATAGACTACGAGTGTCATAGCCTACTAGATTACAGCATTTTATGGAGAAGAGTGAAAAACCTAACAGTGCATGGTTGTAAACAGAAGAAAATAAACAACATGAGCCTGCCATGTTGTTACTTTTTCAACGACTAGTAAATTTATATCACTACAATTAGATAATTCGTGCTCGATTTATGTACATGATAGTTGATTCGGGCTTCAAGTATCATGCGACAAAAGATCTCAAAACAACGATATAATTGATAAACAGGAATGCAGAAAGATTTATTTTTTTAATCGAAGTGGACAACTGCATTGCAAATTTATCCGTTTTCTTATTTGGGCCAAGTTGTTCAAAAGGTGAATAACGCAATCCAACTGATAAATCACTATCCAGCGGATAAGTGTTAACGAAACATATTGCGCTGCCCAGCGGATAGGAATTTATCCGTTGGATAGCGCTATCCACTCTTTGAACAACCGGGGCCTGGAACTGAATCATGATGATTTCTTTTCGCTAAGACAGGATTGCATGCACACCTTATTTTTCTTCAAATTCGTGATTTAACAATGATTATGATATTCATAATCATAACAATAATGATAATAATGATGATGATAATGATAATAATGATAACAATAACAAAAATCTTGAATGAGCACTCCTGAGCTCCTGGGCTTTGTAAGGACAATGTACAAACAAAAACTTTTTATTTTTAAATAAACACAAAATGGCTGAAAATCCCAACTGGTGCGGAGAAGCCAACCAATTGCCTATTTACAAAGGCAGCCATGGAGTTGACCCGGGGACAACTGAGAACAATGGCTGGCGAGTTACATGGTGGAGGACTCGAAAATACGATTAGTAGAAAACAAGTCCGATGCCTTAACCAATGAGCTACGCTGCCTACTCTAGCATATTCTACAGTCTCTAAAACAGGTTTTAGTTTCTGATCTTATAATCCCTGATTTAGTATTTTAAATACTACAGTAATTTCAAAAGCTATTTGTTGGCTAGGAAAACCTCCCATGTCCCAACCATTCCACCCTTCACCCAAAAACAAAGACTTACCTTTAGTCAGACCGCCAGTTATCGATGAGGTTAAGCCTATAAAATAAGGATGCGGGTAACGAATTGACATGGAATTATTTCAAGGATAATAAACGTAAAAACCTTCATTTGGCGCGAAAATATGTTCCCATATTTGTCTTTGGACATTATCTGTTCCTCGATTCTCACAATATTCATGGTGTCCCTAAACAAATTTCAGTGCATATTTTTGCGCTAAATGGAAGATACTGTTTTTATTTGTTCTGATTGGCTTACGTTATTTCTTTAGCAGTTTAGCTTTCTTGGTTTTATCCCACCCAATAAAAATGTGCTATTTCGTGCGTTTCTCGTTCCATAGGAAGATTTATAAGACAGAGAAGAGTCTCACGTCAATAATTTCAATTTCAATTCGATGTCTTATTATTTGAAGTTTTTCGCTTTGCGACATCCATGTAATTAGCGCTGTGTCACTGAAATTTGTGCGAAACATTGCCATTGATCCTTTTATGAATCATACAACATTAACTGAGGTTACCAGAGTTTAGGTCCATTAGAAGAAATGCCATTCCCACAAACACACACAGAATATTCATCTTTCCAAAACGATCCTGTAGAAGAAGGCGCAAGCTATAAAAGTTACAAAATTTATACAATTTTCCCTCGTACAAATCTTACAAAGAGCACAATATTGACAACGAACTGAAACAAATTTCTCAGTGACATTCTGCTGTTTAAATCTGAATTCAGAGGGGACGTGGTCTACATGTAATCATTTATAAGGGACATCTTTGCAATATTTTGCGAAAACAAATTTAAGTGTTGCTACTTTTCTTCACTTAAAATGGCAAAAAAAAATCAAATCATAGAACTGCTTACGTTAGAGCATACTGAAATACGATTTCATTTCAAATTGGACTGCAAAATAGTAAACGACGATCTTTTTCAATATACTTACGTTGACAGAAACTAAATTTCTGAGTTCCTCCTCAATTCCAATTAACTGTGACCGTGCTAAACTACCGACTGAGTCTGTAGGCCACTGAGGCTACGAGTTATAATTATGTATACCAACTATGCTAAGAATAATGCGTGCAACTCATTGGAATTGTTATCTACGGTTGTCGACCTAGTGAACTGGTCCCCTCCCACGTTTGAATCATTCAAACCTCTCTTTAAATGTTGGAATATTCTCCCACGCATTACCCCCCAAAAAGGTGATGTAACTAGTCTCTCCTTAAGAGTGAACTTCTCAAGGGCCCTTGGCTTTGCAACGGTAACGAGATTGAGAAAAGCAAGGAAATAGAGCGTGATACCGCTTCTCCAAATAGGTATTGTAGTTATTCAGTTAGCTGTAAGCGAACGCTTCCCAATTCGATCATCAAGTTTGAGTCTCCGAGACAAGCATTCGTGGATGGTGATCTTGCTGGTGTGCGTGGGATGTAACCGGTGATCCGATTGGTTATAATGTAATAAATGGAGAGCATAACAGCAAAGACAAAAGTAGAATCAACGTTTTAAGATTTTGTCATGCAAACCCTCGTTGGGTCCATTGAATATTTACGCTGTTATGGGATCGACAGTGTAGAAGATTCAGTAGTTATGCTTACGAAAATTGAACTAAAGCCAATGCAATAATCTGCAGTCAAGTGTTCTTTGTTCAGGGGAGTGCACTATTTGGTTTGGTAGCACAGTGGTCAGTATGAGACGACGAGGGAAAAAAGAACGCCTGATGCAATTACTTCTCCTAAGATGTTCTTTTTCACTTGCTATTCATGATCAGCCTGCCGATTCTTGTGCTCTTTTACCATTCACTAAAGGAACATCTTTTACTATTCATTAGAGGAACATCTTGATTGATTGTTTTTTGGCCCTAATCCTGGGGAAAATAATCTAGAAGAAAGAAAATTGGAATTCCATGGGTAACAGTGGAAAAAAGGAAAGAAAGAAAAAGAAGCGTTAAAAATTCCCACCTCGCCCCAAGATCTATCTCTGAAGTGCGGATTTAGGAGGTGGACGAGCGCGATCAATCAATCGATCATTCAGTCAATCACTAAACTCAACTTAACCACGGGCAATCCATCAGCTGTTTATAAAAAGGATCAAACTATGACTACACAACTATAACTATGAACTACACTATATTAAGAAGCTACCTTCCGTGACTGCCGTGCCTTAGAGAACTTTGATGATTGTGCGTCTAAACGACGTGAGCGATTCCGCACAAATAGCTTCGCAAGGGAGGCTATTCCATAATGTGGCGCCACTATAACTAAAACTATTTTTGAAATAATGCGGGCGTAGTAATCGAACATAAAGTTGGTTCTCGGAGTCCCTCAGTTCGTAGCCTGTATTGCGTTCAGTGAATTTCGATGTCAAATAGTCTGGAGCTAACCCATACAGGTAGGCATTTGAATACCATGGTGGCCATGTTCTGCTAGCGGTCAAGATTTTTCCACCCTAAAATTTCGAACAATTGGCAGCATCAGTGTCATAATTTGAGAATTTCAGAATCGCGCGAGCTGCTCTATTCTAAAAGTTGTGCAGCTAGTCTTGTAAAGGTACCCCACAGGTTCTCTAAACGGTACTGTAGTTGTAAAAGGGAGGTTGTATTAAAGCTTGGTACATAAGATGTAAGGTCGCTTCATGGCCCCGATTCCAGAAGCGATCTTTTTGTTAGGTTTTTGGTGTGGCAGTTCCAGCTGTTTATCGTCAATTGTTACACACCAAGAATTTTTTAGTTAAAGCCTATTTTACCCGAGTACCGTTCACTGTGACTGATTGGGAAGCAGAAGAGTATTTAGCGTTTGGTCAGATCCTAGCAGTATAGGTTTGTTTTTAGTCATGTTCGAAGTTTTTTTTGCAGTTAACCAAGTATGCACATTCAATTTAGGTCCTCACTAAGACTTGATTCAATGCTGCCTCAATCATTATCCGCATATGTGAGATGGCGGTCACCGGCGCACAACCTCGGTTCACAGTTTGACAAACAATTTGGAAGCTCGTTTATATAGGATAATAATAACAGTGGACCGAGGATGGTCTCCTCCCCCCGCTGAGGGACACCGCAGGTTAGTACATGGCTGTCAGATAAGGACCCACTAACTGAGAATTGTTGTGTGCGGTTCTCTAAATACGACTGCAACTATTTCAATGAATTCCCAGATATACCATTAAAGTCAAGCTTAGATAGAAGAATGTCGTGGTCAACGGTATCGAAACCTTTCTTCAGATCTATAAAAATAACCGCAATAATTTTCCCAATATCTTTATTATATGCCCAGGAGTCAGTTGCCTCACGCAAAGCTGTGACAGCAGAGAAAATAGCACGAAATCCCGACTGATATCTGCATAGCACATCATGCTCCTCTAAATAGGCACATAGTTGTTCGTAAACTATTGTCTCCAATACCTGCCTCGCAACATCGAAAGGTAATTTTTTACGTCGTCGCGTTCACCTTGCTTGTTAAGGGGTGTGATTCCAGCAGATCTCCAGTCTACTGGAATCACCATTACATCGATATCGATGTCATGATCTCCATACGTGTTCTGCTAAGGGTCAAGTCTTGTGCAAGCGCAGCTAACCACGCAAAATGTGTGACAGAATGTCTACGTTATTTTATCCAAATTTTCAGAACGGGGGAAAATTCTCAAAGGCACAAATGAAATAGAAATATCGTAGACATGATGAAGGGAGATTGAAACACTATCGGTTGATTTTATTTAATCGTTTAATTCATTCATATTTCTCAATAAGACTTTTTATATTTATACGATGTATGACAACTTTATCATTGCATCTTAGGCTTCTGCACTTCTACTGGTTTCCTTCTTCGAGAATGACTTTATGCATTGACCGTTTCCTTAGGCTTTCTTGGTGTGGCTGAAAAATACGTTATCATATGAGGCTATTGATCATTAGAGACGAGCGAAAAAAAAGCTGTGTCTTTGAGCTTTGCTCTTTACCATAGTTTATTATCAGAATGTCTCTCTCTACCCGGGAGTATAAAAAGACATTCTTGTGGTGGATTTGCACCCAATCCAAGGAAGTAGTAGAAATGATTGTCACTTAGCACCGTGGAAATTGGGGTTGAGGAGAAAATTTATAGTTTCCTTGTGAGTTTAGTTTTTTGATTAAAGATGAACTTTCATCTTCTATAGGCACAAAATGAGATCTGACATAAGTTATATCTCCTTGAAATCACAAATACATTGCCAGACCACTTTGGGCTCCTTTTTCGCCTCCTTCAGTGCATTTCAAAGCGCGCTTTTACTCAAATTTGCCATTTCTTCAGATATAAATAAGTTTTGAAATTATTTCCACTATTTTATTTTTTGGTATCGTCTTCCCTCAGAAGGTTCTTTGTCCTAAACAGCCAACCAGACTCACAATGGACAGAAGTCCCACAGGACTCCCACAGAAAACTCCGCTATCTCCACCGCTAAGGAAGACCCCACCCATGAAGGAGTATAAAGAAACTTTAAATAGATGATGAATAAATAAAAAGGCTTAAGTATTTTTCCCTACCAGATTTATAACTTTTATCGAAGGCTCCAATGTTCTCTTTGAATACTGCTGTTACAGTTTGGTCACCCTGTGTAACCTTAACCTAAAAAAAAAACAAAACAAAACGAAAAAAATGCTTTTTGAGACTAAAACAGCGTTACAGAGGTGACTGCAAAAGCACAAATGTCTCTTCGTTACATCTATTGTACCTTTCTCAGTTCCCAGCTTGCGTCAGTTATGATTTTTCTTTCCGATTTGATTCTCACCTCTGTGATGTCCCCAACATCAATGCCACGGACCTCGTATTTGAATGCATCTCTAGGGCGAAAAAAAAAATCAATGAACTTTCTGTAATCAATTTTGTTCAAGCATCGAGATGTGAAACATAAATTTTCTTCATGGGTTATCTTCAGTTCCTTCACGATATTTCCCAACGTTTTGATAACTATCCGTTGGCTTTGAACGAACTGCAGTGAGAAAGCATTGTAGAAATTATCACGCATCCAAGTTCTCTGAGATCACCGTGCCTATGGGTCCTTCTCTAGAATGGTAGTCGCCTCTGCAGCCGTTGTTTGGTGTCGTCACGCTACTTACTATCTTCCCCTCCAACAACGATTGCAAAGGATACTACCAAAATTGCGACCGAGATTAAAAATGCATCATAAAGGAAAATATGGCAAGTTGTTCTTTGTTTTGTCAAGAGAAAGAAATAATTAAAGTCCTCCACGGGGAGCGGCATAAATATCCTTAGCATTCCGCTAATGTGCCACTGAGCTGTAACAAACACGATGTCGATATTTTCAGATTTTAAAGGTCTTTGAAGGGGTTCTTGGTTCAATGAGTCTTATACTTTCACTTTCACTTATGACCAAAAGACAATTTCTCCTTTCCGTTGTTATTGTGCTGTCAAACACACGGGTGATGAGAATTTAGAAAAATGTAAACTATAGGGAATACTGACATTACAAGGAATGTATGGCAGGCAGAAAGGAGAATTGATTTTGCAATCTAAAGAAATCATTGGTTATTAGCCTACTCTCGCTTTGCCCCTTTGTCTTTATATAACAACAGGTCTTCTGTCTTTTTTCCACCGGTTCCGACGAGCATGATGAACACATGGAACTTCGACGTGATGTCTTTTGTAGGGGTGAAAACAACCACCGTGTAGGGAACTTCGATGTGAAAATATTAACAATCATAAGAAAAATAACGAAGAAAATGATAATGACAACAACAACGAAAGGACAATAACAATGATGATGATTATCACCACGATAATGATAGTGATAATGAAAACGACTGTGAGAGTGACAGTGCTGATGACGATGACGATAACTATAACGATAAAAATAACGACAACGTTGACGTAAACGTTAACGATAACGATAACGATGACGATACGATAACAATAACGTTTGTGCTAACGATAACGTTAACGATAACGACAGCGTTAACGATAACAATAACGATAACGATAACAATAACGATAACGTTAAAATAATGATAACGATAACGATAACGAAAATGAAAATGATTACGTTAAAGATAATGATTATGATCTTGATGTTAATCATAAGAATACCAATCCAGTTGACATTGACCTTATGATATATTGAGATACTTGGGAAATGTCACCTAACAATGTTGACGTACGAACGCAACTAACTAAAATATTAAAGGAGACCTCTCACCTCGACAGACCAATAATCGTCTAACCCGGTAGGCGAGGCGATCGGCGATTTTGTTCAGGTTTGCCTCGGTAAATTCCATGTTGATTGCATCATTTGGGTCGGACACGATGCTTTCAAGCTGATCTATTCGCTGTGTGTTTTTTACGTTGGGAATAAGAGCACCCACAAGATGGATGTCGTTGTCGACTCTCAGCTTCTTTTCTGCACTTAGGAGTTTGAAGGTGTCCACCAAACGACCTCTACCATCTTCCGTGTTTCCGTCGGTGAAGAGTACAACGATCTGAAAACGTAATGAGATTTACGTTTGGAAAACAGTACACAGATTAAAATTATATTCAGAAGAAAAGATGTTTTTAGCAAGTACCTTTATGGCTTAAGATGTGTTTGTACATTTTGAGTTTAAATTAAGAAGGTTAACGCAATTTTCAAATTAATTGATAGCAAATTTGTTATTTTAGTTTAACGCTGATGTTGCCCCCGCCCCACCCCTCCCATCCCAAAATCCTGAACACAACCCTATACCTTCACTGGATCTTTACCCTTCCTGCGTGCTGAACGTTTGTTGAACTTCTTTGCGACGCTTTTCTTTAGGACGCGAATTAAGCGGTTGTAGAGGCCAAGTCCTCCCTTGGGGTAATTTTTATTCAAGTAGGAGATTGCCTTAGCTGCTGAACCCCAACGATTCATTTTTGTCTTTGAGCCGTATCTTCCCATCACAAAATTGTAGTCGGTGTCATCGCTGTTCAGTGAATTCAGTAGCGTTTTCACTATACGTTGTATACTTGGACGAGTCCCTTCAGAAATGCTCTGGCTGTCTTGGATCAAGACAATAACATCTGCCTCGGTCTTGCATAAGCCACCAGCTGAAATTATGAGTAGAACAAGAGAGGATTAGATCAAGAGAGGAGATTCCCCATATTCCCAAAATAACCGTTCCAATGGCGAAATAGGTGCATCTATGGGAGCGCGGGAAAACGACATGTCGTTTTTTTTGTACATTCCTCCTCTCGCACGTGACTCGATCGTTGCACTCTTCTTGCGCTTCCCTCAGTACCCCTTTTGAGACGGAAATAAAGGGCGCGTCTTCCACAAGGTGAATCTCGCATGCATATTCAAAATTATGTAACGTTCGCTAACTGAGGCAATATCTGGCTGAATTTGGGAGCTTTTGAGTTCAACTTCTGATCAGAAATTAAGTTTCCCGCTTGCCACTAATTAATTGAAAAGAGGTTTTCTCAGTATTGTTTAAAATTTACATCGGATAGGGCAAGATCCTGGTTTGACTGATCCTGCGTCCGAAGTAAGTTGTTAAGTCAAGGACCTTCTTAAATTCTTTAAAGCACCGGAGTAGCTCTGAGTCGCAAAGACAAACGGCATAACCACACTTCCCCGCTTCCGGATCATTTGATTTATATTCACTCGCGGGAGCTAAAAGAGGAAAAGAATGGAATATAATAATAAGCTACATCCGAGGTACCCAACGGCTTCGCGGAGCCTTTGTTTGAGAATCATTTTTTATTCTTACTCAAAACTCATTCTCACGTGAAGAGTGTTGAACGTAGCCCCGTTTTCTAGGTGAGGGTTTTGGAGCTACAGACATGAACCCATAACCTAAAACAGGCCGAAAACCCGGACATGCGTACCAACTATTGGGCCAAGGCCTCTTTACTAACACAGCGGTCAAAGGTCTGCGCATGCACGAACGTTTTAATGGCTAAGTGGCATGCTTTCAGGCTGTCAGAACAAAATTGTCGCATAACTACTATAAACAACCACGCATGCTGGTAAGTGATGGTGTGTAGATCAAAAGTGTAAAACTGATTTGCTAAAACCCTTAAATAATCTATGTCTTCGAAAAGTCTCGATTTTTTCCTTTTCCCTTTCTTAAAGGGGCGGGGGATATAGAGATTACTGCATGAAAAGACCCCGAATGATCTTTATTCACGAGTTGCTATGCGTCAAGAAAACGAACGAGTGAACGCAGCGAACGACTGACTTTTTCGATGCATCGCAACTCGTGAATAAAAATCGTTGAAGCACTTTCCATGGTCCGATGTTTTTATTTACATACTGAGATTTTCTCTCACTAACTGACACATTTCAAAGATTGCAAGCGAACGACTGTGAAAATAAATCGTTCGTCCAACCAGAGACACGCACAATAGTTCTTCACAGTGTAAATCTAAGTGTGTATGGAACTGTGAGGAAACGTAGACGCCAAGGACTTTGGCAATATGATACACACAACGACAAAACTTAACGAAGATATTATACACAAAAAAGATTGATAATACTTACTGCAAGTGTCAGTAGCTGCGTCGTACTCGAATCTCTTATCAACATTACTGGGGTTACCACCACATTTATCCGGTTTAACTAAGTTAAGCTCGCAAAAATCGTGGGCTTTGCAACAACTGAAGTTAAAAGAAAAAAAATTAGAACCTCATTTTAAACTTCTATCGAACAAGTTGACCAGTGAGTGCCTAAAGTTATTAAAAACGCACTCACTCACACACACACACACGCACACACACACGCACACACTCACGCACGCACCCAAGCAATTGACTACAGCACAAAAATGATTGTGAAACCCCTATGTCCTGACCAGGAGATTCACTAAAAAGTTAACAGGAGACGAAGGAAGGAATGACCGCCGAAACGCAGAGAACAACTTCGTTTTCTTAGTAAAAAGGAAGAAGGAATTGGAAAAGGAAAGAAAGAATGTTGAATAGGAATCGAACAATGCCGTGAAAAGACATAAAGGTTGTGGTTGATAATCTTGATGAACGACAATAGTAATCAAATTCTGTTGTTTGTTTCACGATGTAGTCATCTGGGATATGAATAGCGACGTTTCGACGGTATATTGCGAGTCCCGTTCAACATTCTTCTCCCTTAACTTACAAATCAAAGTTATCCGCGGTTCTTCCCATTCCACCAAAGCCGCACCAACAGCCATAGCCGTAAATTTTGGAGGTCTGTGCTCGATCAAGACCCAGAGCTTGTTGTACCAATTCTAAAAGTTGTTCTTCCCTTGGGCTGAGACCACCGAACCTTTTCTCCCCTTTGTGAGCTGGAAAAGTAATAGCCACAAAAGGCGTGGTCATTTTCGTCGTCGTCATTTGAACATTTGACCACGTGTCTATTTTCGTAAGAGGTTAACAACTACCCGTCGCCATATGTACCACACAGCACGACAAAGAAACAAACCTTAGCGGCGATAAAAGGCACTCCATGGCTTACTCAATTAAAGTGGACAACTGAATCGAAACTTTGTATATTTTTCTTAAAGATAAGTTAAACATTCGATAGTTTGAGTTCTGACTCGGAGAAATTTAATAATCTAAGCGATTTTTCGGCTTAAAAATCCATCCACACCATCTCCCCTCCCCCATTAAAAAAAAAAATTAAGACTTACCTTTGGTAAGACCGCCACTAGTGGATGAGGTTTGGCCTACCAAAGAGGATGCGAATGAGGATTTGAGAAGAAAGTAAAAACCGAATTATTAGTTTTGAAATCATTGTCACGAAAGGCAAGATAAATGTTATTTTTGGCGGTGAGGTTTTTTTTTCTCAGCAGTATAACTCGCGAGTTATCAGTGGTTATTTAATACCCAGCTTTGGAAAGGTTTACCTCCTTTTGCTCTGCGATTGGTCTTAAACTCGCCGCATCCTTGTAACCAATTGACTGCAATGTTAAAACCAATTAAGACTCCCGTTTTCCCACCCTCAAGCCCGGTACACGTATTACCTTTATTCTGATTGGCTCACGTGATCGCTTAATCTTTGGTTCTTACGACAACCAAAAGTGAAATTTGCTCTTCTTTGCACCCTATGTTCCTTGTAACACAGAGATAATCTCTCTTCAGTTATTTAATTTATAACCTTTTTTAATTCATTGCCTACCAATTTTCATTTTTTTGCTCTTGTAACACACATTTGCTTATATCTGTCTCAGTGAAATTTTCGCGACACACTGAAACTTATCTGCCAATCAAAACTATAACAAATTCACAAACGTGATTGGTTATCACCAGCCTGATTTGAGCACTAATAGGACAGTGTACACGTCATGCTTGTAATTGGACAGTGTAATAGGACAGTTAAAGGGACAGTTAACACGTCATACCTGTGTAAGTGGAGAGAACGCGTCATGCGCGCGCGCTGTTATCTCGCATTTCGCTGAGTTAACTGAATGAAAATGTATAACCGATGTCTAGTTTCTTTCTCAAATTTTGCCATAGTTTTGATTATTGGTGACAGGACCTCGTGTCGTCCAATTCTGTCTGTATTCCACTCGGTCCTATTACCATTATTAATGAAACATATCATATTAAGGTTACCAGAGTTGAGGTCCATCAGGAGAAATGCCATTCCCACAAACACGCACACAATATTCATCTTTTCAACACAATCCTGCATAATAGGGCGCAAGTTATATCAGTATGACACGGTAACAAATTCCTCTCAAACAAATCTTGCATAAAGCATAATATCGGCACTTAAGCGAGGCAAATGTATCCATAACATTCAGTTGTTTAATCTAAATTCACTGAAGACATGTATATGACATTATTTTACAAAAGTAACCTGATGCGGTTTTTTTTGTCTTCACCTAAAACAACTACTTGTTTAACGAAAAATACTGATGTAGTCTATTTGAGTCACTCATTACTGTAAACTGCCTTAGAATTTCCAAGATGTTTTCGAATCAACTAAGTCAGTTTACAATCCTGTGAGTTTTCCGTGACCTCTGCCATTTTTCCTGTGATTCGTTTTTTCGCCTATCTCGTCAGCTGCGACAAGAGATTATAAACTAATAACACCACAAATGGGATGGCATGAGAGGCGCGGAAAAAGAATTGCGGATGATTAAAAAAATCGAACAAAATACTTCGATACTGATTCTATGAAAGCGAATAAATCAAAATAAATGCGACATTTTTAAATATGATGACTTTGATTTTTTTCAGATTGTACTGAATAAGATCTTCTTAAGACAGATTTAGTTTATACACTTTTTTCATTCAAGGACTTTTTTCACAGCACCGTTGAGGCTGAAATTGACCCAGATGTGAGAACATGCCTTGTACAAGCACTCGACTTTACACATGAGTCGAGTTAATAACACGTGGTGGCAGTTTGAGCGTGTCGAGTTACATTTCTTAGCTGTACACAAAAACTTCATTCTTAAGTTTTTAATGATCAACCTATGTTCTTGTTACAGCCTTACTATGGAAAACCATTAAAGCGATTTTGTCAGTTGAAAAAATGGCAATAAAAGTCAAATCCTAAAACAACCTAATTTGGAGCATATTAATCTAAAGTACCATTCCATTTCAGACCGGACTGCGAAATAGTATCGGAAGAACTGTAAAACAAAAAGGAAATAACATTTCAGTGTACTTACGTGGACAGAAAGTTAATTTCTGAGTTCCTTCTCAATCTTTTGACTGCGATCGCGCTAAATTACTGGTGGAGTCTGTGGGCTAATTATATTTATATCAACTATACTATGAATAATGTAAGCTATTCATTGGAATTATTGTCTACGCTCATCGACTTAGTTTTTGAATTTTTATTTGTAATAAAGGAAGTACTTATTTTACCTTGATATATATGATATATTGATCTGTAGAAGCAACAACTAAATAACGATTTAGCCGTTTTCTCTCGAAATTTTATCTCTCTAAGGTAAGATATATAATCACACTAAAACAGAGGAGAAATATTAATCATGTATGATTAGAATTCAATCAGCTGTACCATCCTTGAACCTAATGGCATCAAGGTAAGAGGGTTCATGTCAACATTGCTGTTAAGAAGCAATTTTACCTGTACTCTTTCAAAGAAAGTTTCATTGATTTAAAACCCATGCATTTTCTGAAAGCTTAACAATAACCGAGATTACAACGATCCCTTCGAAATATTCTTACAGGTTAATTCTGCATGATGTTTAAAAAGGTAGATTTCGCAGAATTTCCCTCTTGTGTTGCAGAGAATTCCGCACACGCTGGTTCAGTAATCTTGGACTGTACACTTTCACTTAATTTAGGCTTTATTGTCGACAATTCAGTATTACACGTTCCGTTCTACGACCTATCTACTCTATTACAATCTCATCCCACGGTTACAAAAAATTTACATTTATTAGATAACGAAATCCACACCCAGATACGTACTTCCGTGTGGGATTCGAGACTTACTCACGTTCTACAACGATTCGTGGGCACTAATTTACTATCAAACATGGCTTTATTTGACAATCATGCTACCAAGTTCCCATACGCGCTTAAACGCTCTGCAAATACCTAATTTCATACATCACTGCTCGCAAAACTAATTTGATTACCCTTTGCCGCTCCCAATTACTTGCTACTTTTAATTGTAACGTTAACTCTGTACTCTGTAGAAAAGAAAAATAAAGGCCCGCTAACGCCTTTCGAAAGGGGTTTAGTAGAATACTATTTCCGATTTTCAGCTAAAAAGAAGAAGGTTGTAAACGAACTTTTCGCCCTTTGATCATCAAGTTTGGGTTTGCTGATGTTCCCATAAGCACTAAAAGGTGAAATGACCCACAACCGCCTAAAACAGCCTAAAACCGCCTACAGGCACCTAAAACTACCTGCAACCACCTGTAACCACCTAAAAACCACCTACAACCACCTAAAACCACCTAAAACCAATAATTTCTGAAAATACTTGAGCCTCTCTCAAACCGCCTTCCATCAAAGGAACAGCGCTCCGTTCCAGAGGCTTTTCGCGCGGGTCAAAATAAAGACTAACCGAAACCGAAAGCCTCTGGCACCCAGCGTAAGCCAAGAACTAAAATTGGAACAAAGTAATTCCAGTATGTCGTAGGTTCCGGGAGCCGATTGTCTCGATCTATTTCACGTTTGGAACTCGTAAGGATGCTGCTTGTAAGTGTGGTAAATGTCTCTATCCGTAATGAATTTGATTCCATTCTGCATTCCTTTGTTGAATGTGAAGAGGCTAAGTCCTTCTTTGATGAAGTTATTTCCTGGTTTAACAAAACAAACAATTCTCGAAATATTCACCAACAATGGCCGAGAAACTTTTTGGAATGTTGCATAATGGAAATGACAAAAAACTACCTAAATTCAACTAATGCTTACTCTTCGCCAAATAATTCTTATATTGTCAAAAACTAGGTTCGAAAAAAGAGTGACTTTAATGAATTTATTAAGAAATTACTCCTTAAACTTCGCGTTGAAAATTTACTATAATCTGTACAGTATTACCAATGAATGCTTCTCAAGCCTAAAATCAATAGTGTACGTGTAAATGGCATCAATTAAATAGTGTGAACAGAGTAAATAATATCCTATAACAATGTTTCATAAGTAATGTAGCTAATCAATCTTTTGTTTTAGTAAGGAATTAAGTTAAGTAATTGTAAGTACAAGAAAACAAATTTATAGACGTAAGTACAATTAGTGATTTTTTTTTGTGTGTGTGTGTGTATGTGTATCAAGCAAATATCATGTAAGTATCATGTAAATTCTCCCGTTGGTCAGGTGTAAATGTAAATAACCATTCCTTTTGTAAATAGTGTATCTTAAGTGCGTTTCTACTAGTGGTATTTGATGTAAGTAGTATCATTTGTAACTGATGTGTGTAGAATAAAGTTCATTAATATTAAAAAAAAAATTTTGAAATTTTGAAAAGTGCGGTAATCTTAGGGAACATACAAGCTACATGCATCTCGCGAGATTTGCAAGTTCTGTTTATCACACATCGTTTCAAATGTCACTGTTCTTTTCGTGGTTTCTTATTCTCAGTCATTTTAATCTTTTACTCTGAATAATACCAACTTATTATAAAATTGTTTTGTTTACTTTGTGGTATGCTCGCTCCGCTTCACCTGCTTGGTGTCCCGTTGACCTCTGTCAGACGTTGAAAAAAGAAGACCTCGATAACTCAAACCTCGAAAACACTGACCTCGAAAACACTGACCTCGAAAACACTGACCTCGAAAACACTGACCTCGAAAACACTGACCTCGAAAACACTGACCTCGAAAACACTGACCTCGAAAACACTGACCTCGAAAACACTGACCTCGAAAACACTGACCTCGAAAACA